TATAACTTATTGTCAGTATATCGGTAAAATATCTCGTACATTAGATTTTTCAGATTAGTACTTCTTGTGATAACATCGATGAATTTTTATTTCCCATTGGATCCATAACAGGATGTATTTTATACTGTTTTATTGCCAATTATATCGGGCAAAATGTTATGGATCACAATAATCACATATTCGTTACTGCGTAAGAATTTTATGAGATATTATTTGTTTCATGTGCGTGTGTGTGTGTGTGTGTGTGTGTGTGTGTGTGCGCGTACTTATGATGCACCTATTTCAAAAGTAAACTATAGCACGTTAGTTGTAAAATAAACAAAATACTATTATAACAAAATAAATATTATATATATTTATTTTTTTTCAAATTATCGACTTTTTATATTACAGATATCGCGTTCAATGGTATGTAGCTCCCTTATACATACAAAGAATTTTACTCTTTCTATTGCAAAGAGGCGCCAAAAGTTTTACTTTGGTTGTTGGTGGATTATTTATTGGATCGTTAGAATGTTTTGCAACGGTAAGAAAATAATGCACCATGTACTGGAATATATTTGAAGTAACGTAAACATACTTTATAATATTTATTCTAGCTGGTGAAGGCTTCGGTATCTTACTTTACCGTTATGTATTCTACACAAAAATAAGACAAAAATAAAATCAAATTAAATTAGAAAATTAATGTATATATAATTAATATAAATATTTCCGATATTATTATTTTACATTTTCAAAATATAAAAAGTGCAATCTGAGTATACAGATTAATTGAAAAAGTATTACGTACAAAATATAAAACATTTCAAAAATACAATTAGATTAACAATAAAATATTTGAAAATTACTAATATAATATTACTTCAATGATATTTTTAATTGTCATTGGCTAAATATAGTTTTTAACTAAAAAATTGTATTATTTACTAAGACTATATAATTACTATATAGTTAATATAACAATTAAAGGTATTGTATCGAACATGCAATGAGCATCAACATTTTACAAAACATTACAAATATAGAAAATAATATCACTGCAGAATAAATTAGCGTAGATATTAAAGTTACCTTAAAATAAAAGAGTTTTGATCTCAAATTATGCATTCATTATTTATATATATAATTTCATAAAATGTACTTGTATAGAGCCTCAATACACAGGATGATACTGTTACTGTTAAACATATAGTCAGAACAAAAGAGAAAAAAGAACAAAAATACTGCAAATAGTGTACGACAATAAGATAGCTGACATACATCAGTATTTAGTACTTATAAAATCGTGCCAATTTAAAACCCGTGTGTCGAGTATTTCTCGACTTCTAATTATTTTAAATTATGATTTTACCAAATAGCCCCGGCTCGGGGAAATTATTTTGATTCATATAGAATTACGTATTGCAAAAAA